ATTTTAGTGTGAAAGAATGCTTTAAAAATGTATAAAAAATTTTGCAACTTCGTTGCATCCCATAACAATGCAAAGGAGCTGTCACATTTACCCTTGGTCTGTGAAATTCCGTGGGTGAAATCACAGCAATGTCCCCAGTGTTAAATTAACAGTGTTAGTGTTAACAGACCATCACACTGGATAACATAGGACTCTGGGAACATGGGTAAGCTCCCATCTGTGATTATATTGCCCGTGTGTTGTAAAAAACAGATTAAACACATTACAGACAGACCCCAAAGCGGAGGCATTGTAACATTTTGAGCAGCACTGAGTGAAGTTCTGTCATTGTAGTGGATGTTCACGAGGGAGGGGATTTCATGTGAGGGAGAAAAAGTTCCCAGCACACATTTCACTCTTTTTTTTTTTTTTTGATCACGTGTATTTGCTGCTCTGACCAACACCTGCACGTGTTTTTGCATAAAAAATGTTGGCAGCACTTAAGCCCTGAAATGACTGCAAAAACAATGATTTAAGCAATAAAGTCAGTCTGGTTAGTAATAAGTGAAGCTGCTGCGGCTGTTTGTGGAGTGATTTATTCCTCCTCTGCTGAGGTCTTGAGAGATTGAATGTGCTTTATTTCAGTTGATTTCATCTAAAGGCCCGTTCACACCAAGGACGATAACGATAAAGATAACGATATAGTTCTAAAAATCATTCTCAGTATTAAAGTATAGCAGAGTCCACACCACAACTATAACGATAAAGACAAAGAGAAACAATACTGTTGGAATCACTTTCAAAAAGCTCATATAATGCAGAAACACTCAAGCAAGCAAAACGCGCAACGCGTGCACATATTTGTACTGGTGCAGAATGAGAGTTGAGGCTGTACTCCTTGTCCCTCTCATTCTGCACCAGTACAAATATGTGCGGTAGTTGCACATACCTTCATGTCGTCACTATAGTCCGCAACACGCAAACGGACAACGCGATGGAAAGGCACAGGATTACAGCCGGAGCATGTTGAATGAGAAAGGCAACCGCCAACCAACCACTATGACGTTTTCCATCAGAAAACTACAATCCGAATAAAACTAGTTACCTCAAGCACACCTCTCGATGCTCACTAGTTAGCAGACACATACCTGTGAGACGGGAAGAGCCAAAAACGGAATGTGCGGGCCTCGGGCAGTGATGCACAATCGGTGCTCTAACACACAACGGTTGAATAAATACAATCAAATAATATTTAATCCAGATCAATGATCAGGCAAGTTTAATAAAAGACAGTGGTCCGACGGTGAGCCTGAAGTGGTGGTACTATGTCTGGAAATCTGATCTTACTATCTCGGCTTTTGCTGTTTGGTCCCCCCACTTTGAAAATGTCTCCTGCGCCCCTGTCTAATGTTCATGTTTTGAAGCTGACTGTAGTACTGCATGTTTAGTACGATTTTCACTTTCTTATTTTTCATTTAGAGTTTAAAATTTAAATACTTCTCCTGTAGATCCTCCAGTGAATCCTGTGATCTTCATCAGTCCATCTGGTGAAATAGTGGAGGGAGATTCAGTGACTCTGAGCTGCAGCAGTGATGCAAACCCTCCTGCAGAAATCAGCTGGTTTAAAGGAGGAAGGTTTGTAGGATCTGGAAGAATCTACAGCATCTCAAACATCAGATCTGATCACAGTGGAGAATACAAGTGCAAGTCCAGAAATGAACATGGAGATAAATACTCTGCTGCTGTGACTTTAAACGTCATGTGTGAGTTAATGATGGTTCAGTAACTTTGACATTAAATTCTCCAAACATAGTCTATGATGTCAAATTTGTTGTGGTACGTAATGACATCAATGTTTTTTCTGTGTTAGATCCTCCAAAGAGCATCTCAGTGTCCATCCGTCCATCTGCTGAAATAGTGGAGGGAGATTCAGTGACTCTGAGCTGCAGCAGTGATTCAAACCCTCCTGCAGAAATCAGCTGGTTTAAAGGAGGAAGGTTTGTAGGATCTGGAAGAATCTACAGCATCTCAAACATCAGATCTGATCACAGTGGAGAATACAAGTGCAAGTCCAGAAATGAACATGGAGATAAATACTCTGCTGCTGTGACTTTAAACGTCATGTGTGAGTTAATGATCATCTGCACATTGTTAACATCCAAATTAATAATTTTCTAATATTTTTTTGTGAATTAAAATGTTTATCTATTTTAGATACACCCAGGAGTGTCTCAGTGTCCATAACTGGATCTGGTGAAATAGTGGAGGGAGATTCAGTGACTCTGAGCTGCAGCAGTGATTCAAACCCTCCTGCTCTGAACTTCAGCTGGTTTAAGGAGAATCAAAGCTCAGCTGTTGGATCTGGACAGAGTTTCAGTGCACTACAGAGTGGACGCTTCTACTGTGAGGCTCACAATCAACATGGATCTCAGAGATCAGACGCTGTCACTGTCACAGGTGAAGGTTTTGTTTTATAAAGGTTCTAGACAGTTGTAGCTTTGAGAGTCAATCTTAACTCATATTCTTCATCTCTCAGTGCCTCATGATCTGCGTTGGCATGTCTGGTTGGGAATCACAGTGGCATTTGTAGGATTATTCATCATTATCATCATCATCGTGTTCATAATGTAAGTTTGATTTTCAATTTCTGTGCACATTGCCTCATGTGATTATAACTAATGAATCTTTAAAACACAACTTGCAATTTTAATGTCTTTAAAAGCAGGAGAAAACGAAGAGGTGCAAAAGCTGAAGACGCCACAGTAAAACAGGTGAATCATCCAGACATGATGGGAAATATTTATCATGCACTTTAAGTTCGATTTCATGTGAATAATAATTAATTTTCTTTCATTCCAGGATGATCTGTATTCTAACGTAACTGAGAGGGACGCTTACGTGTCTGAATCAGCCATTTGTGATGCCGCTCCATATGCCAGCATTTCATCCAGCAAACCCAGAAGAGATGGAGACAGAGATGCTGAGGAGATCCAGTATGCGACTGTCCAACATCACAAAAACAAACCGAAGAAGAGAGCAGAGGAGAGCGAAAACCAGTACGACAATCTCAGGATTCACCAGCCTGCTTCTGCCGTGAGGTGCAAACATAAAACTTCTGTCATCATCTACTCACTGTCATAATTATGATGAACGGAGAAGTTGTATAGTTTTTTTTCAATATGCTTAATAATGCTAAATCAGAAACCTGACATACAAGGTGGCTGCATTTTTTAAATGACTCCATCATCATGTAATGTGATGATGCATAACATCATGTTTCTTTTTTATTTTCTTCATTTCTTTTTGTTTCAGGCGATTGGATGTGGAGACTGTGGAAGAGGTCTCTGTGATCTACAGCCCCGTCAGATGAATGACAGACTGTCATGAAGCCTGTGTTCATCTCGGCTGCTGGGAAAAGCAAAAGCCAAAAATATTTGCTGAATATGAACAAATATGAATTAATGTCCTTGAATGTCCTTTGGCTGTTTAATTTAGCATGCAGTTTAACAAAATGTATGGCATATTATTCATTAAATCAGGTGAACAGATGAGCTGGAAACCAAATAAATAAATAAATAAATAAATAAACTAACAAAAGATTCTGTGATTTGGGAATGTGTTTGTTAAAGATGAACTTATTCAAGTTTTGTGACCACATAAATGAACGTAGTAATTTCACCAAACTCAAGCTTCAGTTGTTCATGATTTCAGTTCTTTAAATCTTTATTTACTCCTGTCGAAGCCTCGGTAGTCAATTTCAGGTCACTGTGGTGTTAACTCAAAACAGTATAACTAGTTGGAGTCATTGTTTTGTGAGATGCACTAGCGTACATATAACGTACCATATGTGATTGCCGGGTTACTATTAATATTCAGTTAATATTGGGTCTTTCACAACACAATCATTTATGTCTACATAATTATATATAAACTGGAAAATGCTCACAACAGTGGATACAAATAGAGTTTTGATCACTGGTGCGTCAAAGTGGCCGATGATGATTATTTGTAGTGAAACTGTGTGTGTGTGTGTTAAGAAAAGTTTGAAATCATTCAGTTTGACTAAACACGTTTTAAGCTGCGGAGCCCTGTTATGTTAGACATAAGGGTAACACTTTATTTCGATAGTCCACTTTAGACATTCTATTAACAGTAAGTGACTTAGCAACTACATGTCAACTAGCAGTTAGTAGAGTATTAGTAGACTGTCTGCTTAATATCTTCTAACACTTTCTTTGTCAACTTATTCTACTAACCCTAAACCTACCCTAACAGTCCACTCTGAGAGTTAGTAGACATGTAGTTGCAAATTAATGAGAATTAGTTGACATGTAGTTACAAAGTTACTTATAGTTAGTAGAATGTCTAAATGGGACTATCGAAATAAAGTGTAACCGACATAAGTATTAAAAATTATATTTCAGTGCTTTTGTGTTCACTAAAAAAAATGTGAATTCCCTGAGCAACTTTTGTGAGCAAATGCAAGAGCATTGAAATCTAATTGTTCCCTTCCATCTCATGCTTTTTCCATCTAGGGGCAACGGCAGCTGAGAAATATATATATATTTTTTTTTTCATTTCAATAATCTGTAAGCAAATCTTTCAAGTAGGTTCAGAAATAACTTCTCTATCTGTGGTCAAAGTGACGGCAACCAGTCTTATGCAACATATGTCTCAGAATTCAGAAAATGTTTCCAGGAAGACACGGCGGCCAGTATGAAAACCGAGTTTTATTTTTGATATAAACATGATCATCTCTCCAATCCTAATATGTGTAAAAGCAAGTGAAACTATAAAGTCCTACTACAGTAAGAGAGAAAATAAATATGTCATTTACTGATCAGTCAAGTGATGGACAACAACAACAATAAAATATGTCATCTTCATGTCCAACTGTTTAAGAATATTGGGTTTACTTATCAATACATGCCATTGGCTCATGACGGAAAGCTGTTTAAAGTTGCGTGTGTGGGCAGCACCCAAAAAAGAGGAAGAAATACATCTGTCCGCAGGGATATTTTAAAATAAACCGTGTGAACTCAATTTAACGGCTGCTGGAGACCAGACTCAGCAGAACACGGTAAGAGTTACTCTGATTAACATGTGAATATAGTCTGATTAATACTGTTGTAGAAACCACTGATTTACTCGATATGAGATATTCTCATTGAAAACTGCTTTATGGAGATGTTTTTGAAGCTAAAGACTGTTTTTCTCATGTCGTGTGTGTTATATCGGTCTTGTAGTGACGTCAGTCAGAATGGCTCCTCCTCTTCCTCTGGTGATTCTGCTCGTGATTCACAGTGAGTCAGTCCTATTGGAAAATTAATATTCTGTTGTTGGTAATGAAATAAACTTGTTCTTTGTGACTTTCTTTAACTGGGGGTCTGCAAATCATTGGACTCCCTGTTAAATGTTTCATAAACTTGTTTTGTATTAATCAAAAATACATTATCAAGTAAAGTTCAGTCAGAGCTGAAGTTTAACACTAGGGTCAATTTTACCCGTGGCTGTTTTTCAAATGTACATAACAGATTGAAAATAAAACATTCAAGTCTCCCAGTCATTGACTTTTACTAAAATGTAAAATTTTTTATAATTGTACAATTTTATAATTTACAATCCAATGTTGTTAAAAATTATTTAGATAAAACCAGATAAAAAATGGGGCATTTATACCTATAAGCGCCAGCGGGTCAAATTTACCCACCTATATATTGCATGTATGCTTATTTTAAGATCGCTGTCATTTTCTTGCCGCTGTTGTTTTAACATTGTACATTTCTTGGCAATGCTTTTCACTCACTGATTTAGCAGTTATCAGTTTCATGAAGAAAGTCAAAATGAAAAAAAAAAAAGGTGATTTATGGAAGGTAGGGATTAGAAACACTAAATGCCATGAGTGATGGAGAGTCTGACGGTAAGTTATGCGTTCTGGGACGGCTCAGCATCTGACAGTGGTCCAGATATCATATTTACATGTTTTAGCCTCACGTTACTCTAATTGGTCAAACTTTGGTTTAATTATTTATTTTTTGTCTTGCCATATCGTTTATTGTTCTCTACTGTGTTGCTATACTAGTCTGGCCAGTAATTTCTGTTGTCAGTGCAAGCTTTTTTTTTAGCTTAGGCTACTGACCGTTATGGATTAGTGTAGCCTGCATTAAAAAGTCTTGAACATAAAACAACAGGATACAAATATAGTTGATGATTAGACATAATCATTTCATGACTCTAGACACTTCTTTGTGAAGACAGTGGCATAATAAAGTGAAATAATATGTTCTTTAGCCTTATAAATACAGTTGTCATGTGCGTGGGTAATATTTACCCGCTGGCGCTTTTAGGTATACAGCGACCTCTGGCGATTCTAGTGTTAAAAAACTAAAGTTTACCTAAACTCCCACATTAGAGTATTACATGTTGAATTAAAATGAATGTATTTTATGGCAGCCTTAAGGTTTGGGACAACTTGGAATTTATGAGAGATTCATTTTGGGTAAACAATTCCTTTAATGTGTGTTCCAGGTGTTTATGGCCAGTATGATTGGGATGTGAGTTACAGCTCTACACACATCTGTGCACTGAAGGGGTCAACAGTGACAATGAGCTGCACTTTTAGATACCCTACTACTGGATATCAGATCATAGAAGCATTTTGGACCAAAACACAAGTTAAAGAGTTTCCAGATCTGTCTAAGGATCCTGAATACAGTCAGAGGCTTCAGTATCTGGGAGACAAACAGCAGAACTGCAGCATCAGACTGAGTCATGTGACACAGAAGGATTCACACAAGTACTATTTCAGATTCATCACTGATAAACCTAATGTGAAATGGCTTGGCACTCCAGGAGTGAATCTTACTGTCACAGGTGACTTTCATGAGGCTGAGCTCTTCTTCTATGCATTATGTTGAATAATAATCAGTGTATGACAGCAGCACTAGATATAATGTGTGTGTTGTGTTCAGATCTTCAGGTGGAGGCTCCTGAGAGAGTGACAGAGGGTCATAATGTCCGTCTGACATGTAAAAGCAGCTGCACTCTGACTGACAGAGCAACATTCATCTGGTACAGAAACTCACAGCCATTAACTGAGAGAAGAGACGGAAACAATCAACTCCTGCTGCAGTCAGTCAGAAGAGAGGATGCAGGCAGATACAGCTGTGCTCTACATGGACAAAGTTACACATCACCTGATGTGCAGCTGAATGTCAGATGTGAGTATGTTCTTTATTTTGTGTATACTTACTTTTTTTAAATGGTTCCTGTGATGTAAAGTACATGAACAAAAATATGTGGGCTCCCCTTGTAATTAATAGGTTTGGCTCTTTGTGTTATACTTACAGATTTTTCACAGTCACGTCTACAGTCATATACAAATATTTTGAGTACAGTAGTGTCTAATTTTGTCTCCTGCATGACACTATTCAGAGTGATGTCCATGACAAAAGATTTAGTGACTCTGGAAGAACTTGATCACATGAAGTACAGATCTGGGCTGCGTTTCCCGATAACGTTGTCTCTTAGCATGCTACGAAGACTCTAAAGGTATATCTTAACTAAAGGTATACCTGTTCTATGCGTGTTCCCCGAACTATACCTTAGGATTGTGGGATCTAAAATATGAATAATTAATTATAACTAGTTATGGTTAATTATTCATATTTCCTGAAGATCGCCTTGAGTCGCTACAGGATGTTGCTTAAGGTAAACCTTCTTACGTGCGACATTAGCAGGTACTGTCCATGGCGGTGGTGCTGAATAGGTTGATATCAATGGCTCGAGAATCTATTGTTCAATACAGGAGCTCTTTCACGGCGTTATAGAGCGGGTAAAGTGATGTTCATTATAAAGAAACACTTTAGAAATATTAGAAATTGCATTTATCGGGGCTCACTGCATTTATAAAATAATTCAAATTTCAAACTAAATGCAACCTTGGATATCACACACACACACACAAACACACACACACACACACACACACACACACACACACACACAA